GGCGCGCCGCGGGGCAGGCGGCGAAGGCGGACACGGCGAAGGCGGACACGAGGGCGGCGCGCTCTCGATGGGGTGGGTGGGTGTGTTACCCTTGGGTACCCGTTGCTCGCGGGGCGCGGGGCGCGCGCGCGCGCGGATACGTGGGGGCTGGCGCGGGCGCGTGGGGCGCACACGTGGACAGGTGGCGAGCGCGCGTTACAGAGGGGCGGTGGTCTCGCGCGTGCTGACGGACGCGCCGCTCTCCTTCCTACGCCTTGCTACGCTCCCCGCTGCGAGGGCGCGGGCCTCGATCGCGGAGACCAAGGTTGCTGATTTTGTACTCGCGCGCATCCCAAAGGGGAGAGAGAGGCAGCATTGCAGCATTGGAAGGCAGCAGAGGCTGTGCTGCTGGAGAGGCTCGATCGGGGAGAAGGGCAACGCAGCACAGGCATCCGCGTCCTCCGCCATCCGCCTTACAGTACCAGGGTATCGTGCTCCAGTGCGCGCTAGAGTCTAGTGACTACAGTAGACCAAGGTTGCTAATTTTGTACAGTACCCTTGGGTACCAGGGTACTCGCCCCAAAGGGGAGAGGCAGCATTGCAAGGAAGGCACCCCCTCCTCTTCCTCGCTTGACCCGCCCGCTCCTGCCGAGCGCCCGATCTGCGCCGCACACGTGGCCGCAGCCCGCGCCTCGCCTTTACCGAAACTCTCGCAACCGCGCCTACCGCTGCTCGACGCCCTCGCCACCCAGCCCGGCCGACCCCGCCGCCGCGTCCTCGTGCGCGTGATGCTCGTGCGGAGGCACATCCTCCGTCTCTCCCTCGCCCTCTCCTTCCCCCTCGCCCTCCCCCTCGCCCTCTCCCTCGCCCTCTCCCTCTCCCTCGCCGTCTCCCTCGCCGTCCTCGTGCATGTGCACGCCGTCCTCGACGCCGACGTGCGCGTGTCCGGGCACGTGGTCCACGTCTGCGAGCGCGTGTTCGCGCGCGTCGTGCGCGGGGAGCGCCACATCGCCCTCCGCCTCGCCGACCGCCTCCGCCTCCGCCTCGTCGACAGCCTCCGCCTCGCCGACCGCGTCGAACCC